GTTATACCGACGTACTGCGAACAAATAAAGCGAACCAGCAGATAAAGCTGCCGGATTTTACTACCTACGAGTGTTTAGAGCAAACGGCTATCCAAACAAATTTGTCGACCGTTGAATGCGCAACCAAGATGAAAGACCGAACCGCACCAGTCCCAGTTTTTGTGAGCATTACCCTACAGGGAGAACGTCTCGGAAGCCGTTAGCTGTCTTCTGACGCCAATCGCAGTTTCAGACCGATCAGAAGCACCTATCCGACACCAGTTAGTAAGGCCAAACGATCCGCTGCCACGGTAGGAAACACCTGGAGTCGTTCATCAAATCTGATGCACTTACGGACAAAGCAACTATGTCGGAGAAACTAGAAGACTGACCCACGCGAGGATGTTCGAACGTGTGACAGCAGAGAAGGTTGCGGCTCATACGACGGGACCAGGCCGCACCTTAAATTTGTACGAGGCCGTAAATCTTGCAAGGATTGACAATCACATGAACGGTGAACTGCTCGACTCTTAGTTTTCTGGCTCACTGTCAATGTTCTTGCTGCTCAATATTCTGCGCTGAGATATTGCCTAGGAAGCGACTCATTTCAAAGGCAAAAGAACCGAACAACAAAACTGATTGCAGCTCATGGCTCACAAAAATTGCCCCTCATACCGATCATTTGTGAGGTGATAGTAGTTGTTTACCTGCTAACTTGCAAGAACACTAGGAATCCATAAGTGGGTAAAAAGGGTATTAAAAATGATACCAAATGCTCAGTAAAATAAGTTCATTCTAATGTAACCTTCTACCATCAACAGATTCAAATAGGCACGCCTATTTGCGACAATATATCAGTTCAGTTCAGTCTTATTAAAGGAAAAATGGGCCAATGCCTTTGAACTCCCCATTGGTGACACAATGACTGAAAAAAAGCATCGATATAGAAGAAAAATCCACACAGTGTTCGTTTACATGCTTGCAGCCGAAAAATGAGCAGCCGTCAGTGGAAAGTATGCGATAAGACTTTATTTAATTATTGCCCTGTTAATGTCTATAAAATAAGTAAGCAAGTGTGGATTCGTGCATCTAATGTCGCTCTCTGGGCTGAGTAGAAACTTTAGAACGTCAGCTGAATAAAAAAAATAGACTTCACACTATCACTTTACTACCCATAACTAGAGGAGTAGAGTTTGCGGCTATATAACATGGATCTCCTGACCTGACAAAAAAATATCAGACCTAAATTGGTAGATCATCGTGGAAGAGATGAAATCAGTGTCGAACGGCTCTACTGACAACGACAGAGATAGTATCGTTTCGCAACCAGGACAGCTTGCCGCAAAGCGTTCCCATGTAAAGGTTAAAACGAAGTGGAGTAGACTGGAGGCATTCCTATGAGAGTAGAAACCCCGATAGACGGAATAAGAAGTTAAGTCGCTTTAGATTCATACTGGAACCCCCTCCGCCCTACAGGAACAGCATCAGACTCAAGTGAAAATTCGAAAGACCTCGTGACTAAAATTCTTGTCCCGATGATCATGCCTGCTTCTTCTCATAAGAAATCTACTCAATGACATTCTTAGTATGTAGCGGGGTCTGGGTAAGGATGACTTGTATGATCACCTAAACACAATCCAGCAACAGAAACTGCCTGCAATACATGAAGCTGTACGGTAAATTCCGAAAAATTAAGTATAGAATGAGGGCCAGGGTTCAGTTTGGAGTTAGTCTTATAGTGAGGATAATGCTAAGGATTAAGATTCGGGATAACTGTAGGGTTTAGATTTAGCGTAGGGTTAGGAGTAAAGTTACAGTTCCGTTTTATGTAAGGGTTATTTTTAGGCTTAAGACAGGAACATATTTGCCCTTCCTACAAGCGATCGCGAGGCCAACTATTTTAAGTGGGTGGAGCGTCCCTTTTCTGTGCCATGTTTAAACGACCATACAATTCAGCCTTATCCTCTCTCGAGTTTTGCCTTTATTTCGATCTGAATTGCTATATTAAATTCAAAATTTTAATAAGCATGTGTTTAAGAGCATTGAGTACTTTGAACCGGTGGGTAAGCGCATCAACCTACCATGAAACTGTTCAGGGGTCTAGGGGTGACATTCCGACGGCGCTTCTTGTGCGAATCCACAACGGTCGTGTAGGGGTGATGCAGATCCTGTCCGGCAACCAGACGATCGACCTTGGAACTGGGCCATCGACTCGGCACTGGATGACACTCACCCAGATGGTCCATCCATTCGTTGAGGCCCTTTGCACGCACCCCCTCGCAACGCGGACAGGCGGAGAATCCGGCAAGGCTTTCAGTAAAGAGGCCCCCGAGGGCTGCATCCTCGAGGATCGACTGATCGCCAGCT